TTTTTGGAATTTTTGGAATTTTTGGAATTTTTGGAATTTTTGGAATTTTTGGAACTTTTGGAACTTTTGGAATTTTTGGAATTTTTGGAATTTTTGGAATTTTTGGAATTTTTGGAATTTTTGGAATTTTGAGAATTTTTTTGTAAATTTTAGGAAAGTGTTCAAGATTTCACATGAAAGGTTGGTCCAGGGGGGTGGGGCTAGCATATATATATATATTACGAAATTTATATAAGATATTTGAAGGTCTCTATCGAAAATTCGATTCCCCAAAGAATTCAAATTTGATTCGAGCGGAATATTCAACTAAGCAATAATTTTTGATTCAAAAAATTAGAATAAATAGATCCATCACTTCCAGAAGCAGGGTAAGCTGACTGCACTGAATATTCAAGGTCACAACCATGATATAGAAAATATAAAATCTCATATTCAATATTAATCTGGAAAAAAATATATTTCTCTTATCTATGAATATGAAAATGTCCATCAATCTATTTGATCCTGTCGATATATGGACTCGAATTACAAGGAAAGATTGTTATAAGCGCACTTACCATTCCTATAAGATTCTCTATCGAAGAATATCTTTAATATATTCAAATTCAATCAGACAATGATTAGAAATAATTAAGCCTTCTAATAATATCTGGGTTCGGAGATAGATCCTGGAAAGCAATTCCCGATATCGTTTTTTTCTATATTTATTTTTTATAAAATCACCACTTCATCTTCGAAAATATTTTAGACCTCAAAAATCAAAGATCCTTGAGAATAGAAAATTGCTATTATAAGTCCCGAATTATTCTAAAAACATAATAATCAAAACCGATATTTTGATTTAAATAAATATCAATCAATACTAATTTATTTTCTTTTCCAAAATAATTCAGGAAAGAATAATTTGATCCCTTATAGATTTATTTAAATTTCAATCAATTATAGAAGAATTGAAAAACATAATATGAATATCTAATTTTGAAATATGTTCTATGATTCAAATAATTTCGAAACTCTCCAATAGAAAATATTCTTAGATATAAATCAATTCAGAGATCAAAATGAATTAAAATATTCATATTAAAACTTATTTAAATTCAAAAAATACTAGGTATAAATCATATTATTAAATGAATTTTTTCATAATTGAAATTAGAATATTTCATATCTTTTTCTATATATTATATTATAGAATATCATATATAAATAAATCAAAAAAAATTCAAGAATAAAATCTATTTATATTATACTCCTATAGAATAATCCTTATGCTCTAAAAATCCATTTTATAGTAATAGTCCATAGAATAACCTATAAAATTTCCCAGAGCACCCGAGCAGAGTCTGTAAAATTATCGTGAAAGATTCTAGAAATCAAATCTATAGTGGGCATACAAGAATATATTCCCTATAAGAATAATTAATCTCAGGGTAGTCAAATATATCTAAGTATCCTAACTACCGGGATTTCTAGTTAGACTACAAGACTACCAGAATTTCCGGTTGGGGCTCCACGGAGGAAATAAAGTCCTGCCAAGCGAGAACCGAGCAATCGTTTAGACCGATAATTCTAAGAAAATTCCAAGAACCCACTTTCAAAGAACCTATGAGACTATAAAATGACTCCTGGAAGTACCCCGCAATATTCAAGATAACAATTTATAGTCTGATAATGCATGCCCCTCTTATAAGCCTATCGGCCGGCTTCTGCTTCTAGACCACCCTGCTGTACCCTAGACTCCCGCAGGCAAACTTTACAAATCTATAGAATAATCCCCTAGGCTTCCTACAAATAAATCCCCTCTATAAAATGACCCTCTATGAAATGGCCAAACCCACTTCATAGAGAACACAAGTTGGCCACTTCATAGGACTATTCTCGACCGGTATTATATATTATCTCTTTTAATAGTTCGGCTTTTTTAAATATTGACATCACTCGATGGGAAAAAACAGCTCCCTCTTGATAGGCGACATAATTTTCAATTTTATAATTTTTTGGGCTTATGACTTATGACTATATCTTTGACGAACATTAGAGTACGTAAAGTACCGGTGGCTCTCTTAGATTCATATGATTTCTTTGCATGATCCTCTGACTTGTCTATGAAGTAATACTATTAGTAATGGATAATATCCCGTGATTTCGCAAACACTTGCTCCAGGCATTGGAACAGGTCTGGACGTCATAGCTCATGTCGCTGAAATCGATAAAATGATGTTCGAAAGCACTTGCAGACCACACTTCTTGCTGTCTGCATCTCAGAAGCCTCAGGATCCTAGTCCTAGATGCCACTTAAGCCATGAATGAAGCTTGGAGGCGGTTCTACACCTGAGGCCGGCTTTGTACAATGAAAATGCGCTCTCTGACATCTACGCAGCCTTCGATATCCTGCAGGGAGAAGCTTCAAGCACGGGGCAATGGAAATCATAGCTTTCTCCGCCTTCTGACTTCTGACTGACGTCCTAGTCGCTAAATGTCGCTAAAACGCAGCCAGACTTCTTCAACGACGGCGATTGAAATCTTTTGTCGCGGAATTCCTGCCTGCGGCGCTCCATCGAAGGCCTTCTCGGTTGCCCATCCCACCTCCGCCAAAGGCAACAACAGAGGGTTTTGAAACCTCTCGGGGTCGCAACCGGCCTCGGCGATGCGCTTGAGCAGATCCCTTCTGTAGTTGCCATCTGCCACGATTCCCAACCCTCAGCTGGATTGGTATTTGGGCAGCCGTCCAGACCATACAGTCCGTTAGGATAAGAACCAGCCGAAACTCCTGAGAATGCCCTTCGCACCAGTTGCTATCAAGTGGCGATGAAGACGCTGGAATCCTTCTTTGTCCTGCACACAGGGGACTTGAGAGCTTGACAAGAAAATCCCCGGCAGGCCTCAGTAAGTCGGGTAGCTAGCACTGTGGCAGGCAACCGTTTGGCGGCATGTCGCGGCGTAGCCGTGCTGGCTTTCCCGTTTGGATCATACGAGTAGGGGCCTGCTCTTGAAGTCTCGGCCATGCCTGATACCTGAAAGGAAGTAGTCCTTAATATCACTAGTTCTTGGGGAAGTTGCCGAGCCTCCTCAGCACAAACAGATTCGAAGAGTCCAGCACCAGCAAAACCTTCAAGATCCTCACCATTACCTCAGAGATGAAGATGAAGGGACCCTACAGTAAAGTGTCTAAGAGTGCATGCGTCAGCCCTTCCTTGCAGGCAAGGCTCTGTCGGATCGGAAAATCAAACAATGCTGCGTGTGGAGGGCCACCTGAACACAGGATGTATACACTCCACCTGCAATGCCCCCAAGAAGAGCGAAAACTAGCGGCAAAGAACCCAGCAGAACACACATCCAAAAGCTCCCATGTGCCAATATGGCCAACATCCTCAATGCATGCAAGTCTCACTTTTGCTCGGATAGGACAGAACTCGCGGCTCGCCGCCCCCTCGCCGCACCGCGAAGCTCAAGGCGCGGCCAGGGAAGTTCCCCACCTCAGGACCATGTTTGGCTTTGAACTTACGATTTCGTTGCGGCTTCACCCTGCGACTCCCATGACATGAGCAGTTATTTACTTTGAATTCCTCACGATCGGGCCGGGGAGCCAAAGTTTCGCCTCTCCCTGCGACGATCTCTCCATAAAGCTCCTCCTTGTCCTGCCATGCTTGGGTCGCTGATTTACAAGGCTTGGAATTATAGACTTCCTTCAGAGCTGAAGCAGCGACAGACGAGACTGATCTGGGGCTCTTGGGAGATATACACGCAGTGTCCTTAGTGAAAGGGTTCACAGTGTGGAGCACAAAGGCATACTTCGCCTCGACCAACTCCTGCGAAAGTCTCAGAGATGGGGAGTCCAGGAAACACGCCCCGGGTCGCATCGCAGTGACACCTGGACCAGCACGGCCATGTTGAGGTCGTGGAAGCTGCGGCCAGCCTCCCAAACAATCGCTTACTGACTTCGCAAACGAACCAGGAGTCAGCACACGTTGCGCGAATCATGCTGTCGGCTTCAAGCACCCCAGAGCCTTTGCTAAGGACACCCATGGTCGAAGCGCAAACAGCGAGGACCAAACGCCTCCACAAAAAAAATTATCACAGATGCGACTGCAGCAGCACTACCTATGGCTGTTGCCTGTCTTGAAACGTCTTGGATCAACATGATGCGCCAGCTGCGGCTGGAGACAATCCTGCCTTTGATTGCTTGCCAAGCGTCACGCTCTTTGAACCTGGGATTGACAGGGATCTCATAGTGATTGAACCCAGGAGTGTCCACCGGACGCTGTACAAGCAACAAGTTAGCTGGGCAACAGCTTTGCAAGTCTGTCTTCGCCGTCACGATCGGCCACTTCTTTCATCGCGGAATTCAGCGCCTCCTTCAGCGCCTCTTGGCATCACACAGCGCTTCCACATGTGTCAGGGCCGAGCTCGGACTGTCGGGCCTTAGGAAAACGCATGGACTCCACGAGCTGCTGCGCTTCCTCGAAGATGACCTGTGCCTCGGGGTGTTGCAGGCAGAGGAGACCGGCGACCGCAGTGTTCTGAGCCAAGGGACGTCTTCATTCGAGGTTGATGGCTGCAGGCGATTAAGGACCTTCTCTAGCATTGGCAGGACGTCCTTGTTGCAGTCGTCTGTCAATGATTTCCTTGCACTGCCAAGCTCCAAAAGACTTGTCTGGTTGGGAGTCGCAGGATGTACACACGACGTGTTGCAGCATCGCCCAGCACTGACGTGCTGGGAAACTAGAAAAAGCTGCCAGAAGCAGCTCTGATGCTCCGTATATCGCCGAGACTCTGCATGGTACCATATGGCAATGCCACCGCCTCGAATGTAAAACGCTGATCGTGCGGGTGCTATCGGGCTCGTGTCGATCAAGAGATTTCCAGACTTCACCCTTAATCTTCTCACATCTTTCAGTTCCAAGCTGTCCTGCGGCGTGAGGATCCCGGGCGGAAGTTTCGGCCGCAGGAGGGCGAGATTCAGACTCTTGGAGCCCACGTTGGACCTGCTCAGGTTTGATTCGACCCTGGCGGCAGCTCTGGCAGGGCACCTCGTCATCTCATCTGGGCGGACACACCTCAAGCCAGGACACACTCAGTGCCACATAGCGGCCTCTTCCACGTGCAGACTACACTTAAGGCGGCTCCAAGATAGAGGCAAGCTGCCAAGAGCATCCTAGGTCATTGGTCAAGTTCATCTTGACCTCGGCCTCTGCTACCTGGCTGGCTCGCTTGGAGCATCTGCCCCGGAAGGAAGGTCGCAGTTGGTGGTTTGAAAGCTGAATGGATGGGAATTGGTTCCGCTACCGCTGGAAAGCGGAACCTGGAAGACGGAAGGCGGATGTGACGCGATAAAACGGCAGAGTCTAGGGCGCTTGTCTGAAGGATGCCTGTGCCTGGGACCTGGGCCTAGGCCTAGGCCTAGGCCTGGCCTTGGCTGCGTCCGCTTCAGCTTTCGCTTTCTCGTCTTCCGGCGTGGCGCTTGGCCTCTCAACCTGCGGCCGGCCCCGGCCCGGTAAAGAGGCGAAAGCACGACTCGCACAACGAGCTGCCGCCTCGGCAATGGTTAGTGTTCCATCGGGTTTGCACCTGCCCATCATGGTGCCGAAACCGCTTGTTAACTGCTACTACTAGAAACACCCTGGACCCGGAGTCACTTGGAGGCCTCACTTCCACCCATTTGTCTGCGAAGTCGGATGCAAGCTTCTCCGAGATCTTTGGGTCAAAACCTTGGCTGAAAACTCCCAGTCGAGAAGTCACGCACACGGGTCGTATTGAAATTTGCAGCCTCTGCTATGGCTTAGGAACAAGCTTTCTCGCGCCTTCTATCGGAATTGAGCTCGGTTGGATGGAACTCCGCCGCCCAATCAAAGACATAAGCCGCGCAATATTGTGGAGCTGAGCGGCACGTTGCCAGAAGTACACCGAAGTTCCTCGCGCGTACAGCGCAGTGTGAAAGGATGTCGGGTGCTTCCTGCATGCAAGCGTTTCACAGGACATGCTTCTAGTAATAGGCGCACCATGGACAGCGCAAAAGTGCATAAAGGACGCGACGACCAATCAACAGTGACTTGACATGAGCTCACAGTGTCTGTGCGCCTTCGCACTTCGCACAAGAACACCCAGAACTCCATCGGGAACCTGTGGAGGGAGCTCAGTGCTTCCTTCAGTTCCGTCGCACATTGACATGTCCTTTCGTCTTGATTGCCTCCTCCTCGCCGCTCACTGCCCCGCTTAGCAAGATGGTGGGCGTGTGGAAGATTTCGCCCTGCACCCCCATCATCTTGTCTATAAGCTTGAAGACGCCCTGGCGGACAAGCAATGGTCTTGCGTTCATGACTTGAGTCCGTCTGTGTTGGTAACCACCCACGCTTGCACTCTGCTGCCTGAATGGGCTTGTCCACGGGCGAGATCATCTGCCAAGGCGGCCTCTAGTGATAGTGCCGCATCAGGACATCGACGCTTGTTTGGAATCTTCACATTACTTCGCAGCGAGCAGCAAGTGAGCAATGTCCCGCAGAACTGGCTCCACTCGCTGCAGAATCAGACTCACGGCCTTCAGTCCAGTCCGGACATGTCCGAACCAAATGGCTGGTGTTTCTCTGCAATTGCTGCTTGAGGATTTATGAGGCTTTAGTTTGATTTTTAAGGACCTGCCCTGACCATGGCCGGTACCAGTACCACGGGCACAGTCATGCTAGTGCCATGCAGCGGAAACTTTGAGTGAACGTTCGAGCCGGCTCCGTCCCGATGCCAGCAGTGCGACCGCTGCGCCGCCGCATGTAGCATCATAACAATTCGGACCGGCGTGATCTAAGCTGAGAGCCATTAGCGATGTGCCTCGCAGCACCTCCAAAGCGGACGCAGTGTCAAGCACACGGCTAGACACGAGAGCCCAGAACCTCATCCACGAAAACGTCAATATTCTTCTTCGGAATGTCAGCTGCTTCTCCGAGAAAGGCCACCTTCGGACCTCAGAGTTTGCTGAAAGCTACCTACCCCACCGATCCTTTCGCCTGAGCCGCCCTGAGGGCCACGCCCATCATGGTCTGGCATTTGTCCGACAGCTCCCCAACCACCCGGCTGATGCGATCGGCCAGGGCCTGCAGCACGTATACACTGCCCCCCGAACAAACGAAAGTAAAAGGCAAAGCCGGAAGGCTTCGCGGCTTCGCGTTCTGCTCGCCTTGAGAAGAAGTGCTGCTTCCTCTGAGCGCTGGGAGGCGCAGTTGGAGGCGAAGGAGTTCCAATCTGCCAGGAGCGCTTGAAGCTCATCCTCCTGTCAAGGGCTTGGGGGCTTTCTGAAGCCCGTCGGTTTGGGAGAGTAGAAGTCCTGCGGCAAGTGGCCGACGAGCGCCGTCAGCAAAGCTCTCAACTGGTCGACAAGCTGCGGAAGTCGAGACTCGCTCGTCAGGCCCTGGACAAGAACACTCCTGAGTGGCGACTGGGCGACATCTAAAAGTGATCCCGGCTCGAAGTAAACCCGATCAGATGGACGCTTCCGGGGCCCGCGCTGCTGTGTTTCAAGAGTGTAGTCGATCACCAGCAACTGCTTGATCACCCCAGGGTCGGTCCCCTGACGTTCGGGGTTGAGGAACTGGGGATGTCGGAAAGGATCTCAACAGGCCTGAAAAATCAACTCTGTTTAGTCTGCCACTTCTCAAGAAGACAGGAAGGCCCTGCGTTTGCCTTGTTGTTCAGGATTGCAAGAACGTCATCTCTGGCAGCGGCAATGCGCATGAACTTTCCGTGACCTTCAGTGAATGTGTTGTCAAAGCTGGTGACAAGGCTTGCTTATGGTTTCTATCCAGGTGGCCCTCGTCCAAACTGTTGAAGCCCGTTCCTCCCATGTTGCACAGGTCGTACAGTTTGCCTGCATCGACTGAAGCTTGTACAGCGGGCAGTGGCAGGTGATTGCTGGCAGCTCGCTGAACCCACAAGAGGATCGTGGCCCTGTCTGTGTCATGTGGCCTTGCAAGTTGCCAGACAGACAATGCTTGGCATGGTCGATGGACAGCTTCAAGTCTAGGGCATCGTGGACGCTGCGCAGGATGCCCAGATACCTCACAGGCAAGGTCTCATGCAGCTCAGGGCCGCCAGGGCCGTAGGGCGGGGCTCCCAGTCTCCCACCTCTCGAAGTCGCCGACGAGGCGTCCGATATCCGTGTGGACCATGAACGGCTCCGTTGTAATCGGCCGGCTGTATGAGTGCAGGTGCTCCTCTCAGCCCAGCACCCTCCCAGAGTCCCGGAAACAAAGATCGTATCGCTCCTTGGTGATGTCGTGCTCCGCCAAGACCTTCCAGTAGATTCCCAAGTCGCCACCACTCTTCAGGTAGGCGATGATCGCACGGCAAATGCCGATGTCTGCCGGGGTGGTGTTGTTGTGCAATTTCTGGTGCCACTGCTCCTCGCCAACTGGGAAACAATTGCACTCACAGGTGTTTGCTGCACCACAGTAAATGCTCTCGTGAATAGCGCAATCTGTGAGGCTCCACGGGGCCGGCATGCTCCGGCCGGGTCAAGCATGCAGCCCAGGGACGTAGTACGTGCCGTGGATCTCCTACAATGTCAGTGCGAGGGAACCTTTAGCACTCCACGAGTATCAGGTTTGGCCACTTAGCTACTGTAGATAGGCCCGCTTGAACATCAACAGCAGTCCTTGATACCATGGGCATGCATGATGACCTCAGACACGCCAGGGGCAACAGAACACAGCAGAAGCCTAGCAATTCTCGCGCCTTTCCAACTTCTATAATATCTTCACTTAACATCTAAAAGAGACACCAAGCAATTCTCAAAGCTCTTCCTCTGCTATTCGTATGCCAAAGCACTAAGATCTCATCTCGAATCTGCTGACCAGCAGACCCACCACGGCCCATGGTGGAGAGGGTCCAACGGATCCAGAGGCGGCAGCTGGGAGTGGACTTCCAGAGCTCAGCCTGCAGTCTGATGCGGATCCTGGAAGCTCCAGGCTTTGGGTGTGGCAGGTGTGCTGGGTTTTTGTTGCATCCGAAGGGCAAGGCGCTGAGTGATCTGATTCGTCGTGGCTGCCAGCATTCCTGGAAGGACGACAAAGGATTACGCTGCTCACTGAGAGGCTGGCGGGACTTCTGCCATATGGCGCTGCATTCTTTGTCCAAAGCTCGGGGCTGGGTGCAGGTGTTCCGTTCCCAGGTCAGAAGCTGCTGGAAGGACAAGCGCTGCCACACGAAGATCCAGCTCCAGAACTCCTCGTTGTTCCTTGCACAGGCACAACTCCGCTTTGCATTGAGTCCCAGCATGCTGTGCAGAGCTAATCATCCATCATTCCAACTGTTTGGGGTGTCGGGTCGCTTTCCCCGAAAAACCCTGCAAGCAAGGAGCTCTTCGGTACTCGACATCTCAATGAGCGGCATAGAAGGCATGCGGGACCACACGGCCTGCAAAGCAGACTTATGGCTGCCCAACACGCCGTCACATATGTCTTGCGTGGCAACCAGCTCGCGCAACAGGTGCCTTGCTCGAGTCGACATGGACGAGGGTTGTCCACGAATTCAGGCGCCGCATCTGAACTCCTTGGGACACCTTCTCCCAGGTATCCAGGAACTCAAGGCAGTTCTCGTATCTCCTCAAGCATGATAGGGAATTGATAAACTTCTTGCTGCTTGCACATGAATGCCGCCAACACGGTAGTCAGCTCCTGTGCCCTTCTGCCCTGCTACACGCCAGCTACCCCGAATCTCCAAAGCCCTACCATCAAACCAAAAGCAATAATCCCCATAAGTTCAAAAGACAAACGAGCAAAAAGATGGACCCGATGCAAGCGGATGGCGGGATTCAACTACAATCTAGGCCTATTTCAACGTAGTCATCGGTGCAACGTACAGTATGACCGAATTGCTCCCCAACAACAGCATCCCCCTCTCGGAGGCCGCCTTTTCAGGGACATGCTGCTCCAGGTCGTCTCTTGCTCAACAATCTTGTCCGCCACCTTGTCAACCCGATATCTTCTGAAATCGCATCACGAAGAGACGCTCCTACATTTCGAAAGCCCGGATCAGAGCGCTCTCTGAGGCTTTCGAAAGGAATTCCCTTTTCTGGCATCTGTCATGACGGCTATGGGATCCCGAGTCCTGATGTCACGACGGTCTGCGCAGCCAAACCATGAACAAAATCCGGAGCAGGAAAACGAAGACAGAAACCACCCGGCCCATCCTACATGCTGTCAGCCGCTTGCGTAACCTCTGTAGCCTTTACAAGCCCATCCCTGACATGGCATCAACAGGCTTCAACTTGACCGTCGGCTCAACATCGCTCGGATGCCTACGGCCTACAGCAGCCACTACAGTAGTTTGTGCTGAAACAACAACGGTCACGTGGAGGAACACGGCTGCAATTGCCAGCCCTTGGGGTGGAAAACCGACGACAGCTTGCGGTGTTCAGCATGCAGTGTGGTGCAGTGCTTAACGACCGAGAGCTAGAAGATCTCGGGGTCGAGGAAGCATGGGTCTTGCCCTCAAGCCTCAAGAGAGCAGCGTGGCCGGCCTGCGCCCACTGGCCTTTCCAACGCCCTTTGCTGGAAAAGCGGACTGTGGCATCGCTTCCATCCTAAGCTGCGATGTCTGCCCTCTACAAGCCGGAGTAAGGCTGCGATGCCCTGATGAGACAACTAAACGCCGCACATGCAAACACAAATACCCCATGCAACATATATATATATATATACACATACATACACGCACACATATACACACAAATATCTAGAGATGCATGTATGTATGTATGTATGTATGTCTGTATGTATGTAGGTATGTATGTATATCATAGAAGTATCTGTATATGTACATGCGGGGTGAGTCTCTTGTTTTGCCTTCACTTCATTGTTTACTGGTCTCGTGGTGACGTCGTGAGTTGACATGTGGCCTTCTTCGGAAGTGCGGCTTAGAGACTGTCGGCTTGATCCAAACGTTGTTGTTCACGGTCTTCAAAACAAAGCCAAGGCCTGCGTGAGTGCCGCATGTTTGCATAAACTGTAACAAAACCCGAACAGGAAGGATCAGCATGCAAAAAGCCCTGAAAGCGATTGGTGCGTCTCGATTTCCAACCTCACGGACACTGGCTGCTGCAAGGGACCCTTCACATGCATTGGCAGCCTCCGATGTCTGGCTCGTGAATGGTCTCGTTGCCATCAACTTCCGTGTGGGCTGTCACGGAGAAGTCCAGACCATGGATACCACCCTCCATCTTGCGCAGAGTGATTTGGCAAGCCTGTGGCAGCGTAGCTGTCCGGGGTCCAGGGAAAAGCTTCACACAAACTCCGTCATGTGTATGCGGCACTGCTCAGTTCATGCCTTCTCATCAACTTTGCGCAAGTCCGATGGCCACTCCACCGCGCTGATCTTGGTTGCCTCATTCGAAGACACGGTGTGCACGCTGTCAAGAAACCCCCCTCAAGTTAAGCACATACTCGCTTGCTTCAAGTTGCAGACGTCCACTGTCGAGACTGCGGCCTCTCGAAGACCCCGAAGTGCATCATGCACTCTCCCAGCCGGGGGTGGAGCCAAGCTCGGATCTGGACCTGAAACGCAAGAGAGCCGCGAAAGGCCGAAAGGCTCAGAGGCTCAGAGGATGCAGCACATGTGCGAGCCTTAGCACGCGTGTCGCCTTCAGAGATACAGGCAACGTCCAAGGATCCAAAATCTCCTCAGGCCGGAGGTTTTTTCAATTGCAGGAGACTCCTGCGCTCGACTCTTCCCCTCTTCTCCCACCTTGAAGCTCGAAGGGAGTGAAGGAGATATCTGCCTTCGACTCCCGGGCTCGTCGGCCCTGGGGAGGCTCACAGCTTCGACTCAGACAGGACTCTAAGCTCCACAGCAAAGGCACCGCACGCTGCCTCCAAGAATTGGCTTTTCGCTGCCATAACCAGCCTCGCCTCTTCTGCGCTCTTGGCCTGAACAACTTCCGAGGTTTTCCGAGTCTGACTCCGCGACTGTGAGTATGCAGTGTTTATCACAGACTGTCAAGCGCTGAATCTATAGTGAGCGCAACCCCTCTGCCCAAATCTGACCGGGTCGTTGCATTCTTGTCGTGCAGATGGCGGTGATTGCGCCTACTATGTCAATGCGCAGGGCACCCGTGAGCCTCTGCCTCACGCTGGACTCGATCCCACTCCTGGGACATGATCACACAACCATCAAAGCAGCTTCGCATGACATGCCGGGACGTACAATGAACTTTCCAACGTGCAACACTTCCTGAAAAGCCCTGGTCCTCGTGTCGCGGCATTTCGAACTCAAAGTCATGCGGCCCATGCTTGATCCATCGGTTCACGGCGCCGTCGTGAAGGACCTGAAGGCGGCTGAGAGCTCAAAGGCGCTGGGATTCGGAGGCTCCAAGAATCTCCAGGACTGATCAGTTGGCGCATGGCACATGGTTCTGCATCTTCTGCCAAGTGGCAAACATCAAAAACTTCTCCATCTCGTGCGCTGGCACTTCAAAAGAAACCTTCAATGGGATGCTGGACTATACGGTCCCGACACCCTGCCTGTCATCCGTCTCTGCTCTCAACCTACACTCGGCCCGTTCTTTCTTCGCAGCTTGCCTCCCATTTGTCCGTACCGGCCCGCACGAGTTCCACACGCTTGGAGAATTTCCATGCGCGGTCCTGCCCGGCCAGCCCGTACCTGATCTTCGAAGCTTGTGACGCACGAGATTCTTTGCTGTATGCTTCGGGGGGTTCTTAAATCTTCAGGCATTGCATACCTGGCCCAGCAGCAGCATACACACTATCGACCAGGAACTCATACAGTAAGACATTCGGGGAAAGCGATGGGAGTTGCCTGCAGCCGAGCCAGGGGGCTGTAAAACCAATGCTGTCTTCGCGCTGACCAGCAGGTGCGCTTGACAGCCCGTCTCTGCCTGGGCTCCGTGAATCGAGACACGACATGAGGCTTCAAAGCACAAAGAAGTCTTAGCTTCAGCCAGAAGTGCTGCTGTAGCCAAAACCACCACCTCGATGCCATCAGCTCCGGGCACAGTCCAGGACGAGCTTTTTGCATCTGGCTCTGCCATCCTCAGTTCAATCCGAGGCAAATTCGATCAACTGCTACATGTTGCAGGCTAGTAGGGATTTTAGCAGCTGCAACTTCGACTGCAAGCTTTGACTTGGCATGTGTTTTCTTGTGTAGGCATCAACTCGGCCAAAGGGTCTGTATCTCCTCAACGAAGGTGCCTTAGCTCAAGGTGGCTCCATTCAAGGATCTCACCTGACACGTCTCAGATCGGCTTGGTGCCAGGCTGAACAATTTTGAGGCCCGTCTCTGGAGCCGCGGTACCGGGTCGAAGGTCTGACACGGACTCTCCCACCAGATATGTAGGTCTAGGTATCACTTCCTCTTTGGACTGGCAGTTGAGTAGACCATGCCATCCTCTAACTGCAGAAGCAACTATGCCCAAGACTAAATTGCTGCTGGGTATAAACTGCACCTGTGCAGGCTCCGGTGGCTTCGCGGTCACGGTCTTGCAGATGTCTCGGGGCAGCTCGAAGGAAAAGTCTCGACCAGCATCCTGATTTCTGAACATTTCTGGACTGCAGGGCACTGCAGGATGCTTGCTGCGTTGCCAAGTCCGGTCTCGCCTTCAACCACTGGTTGACACTGGGGTCGTGTAGGACGAACATGAGATACCTTCACAGACTCGACGCGGGAGCACTGGTGGTCTATCGTTGCAGTCGGCACAGCGCCGAGTGGCTTGTTGAGGTTCTGTGCCTCGATCTTGATAGCACCCTGACACAATTGAGGAGATCTCAAATGTCTGTCAGTGCCACCTGCAGCAAGAGGCATCTTGTTCTATCCTCCACGCGGCCTTGTAGATGTCTCCACCGCTATTTTGCAAGCTCAGCCTGCCCATGCACCAAGCTACGGCCGAGCTGTTCCAGTGGCAAGACAGATGACTGTGATGCTCCAGCTGCAAGGGTAGGAAGATTGCCTGGTCGAGGACGTCCATCGCCGATCGTCCCCTGCTGGGCCATACTGAAGAACCAAGTCCTGAGCTGCAAGCGGCTAGTTGGGTTTGGCCTCGGGGTGCGAGTTTGATATCTTCATGCTGCGCCGAGCGTGACTTAATGGGGGGCCGCAAGCTACACTGCATGCCACGAGCTCGGAAACCTGAAAGAAAATGATGACAGCTGGGAAGCATGAAAGGCAGCGAGTGAGATGTTGGATGGGGAGCCTTTCAGACTTCAAACGGAAAGTATGTGGGGGAAAATAACCCCACGCTCTGAAGGCAGAAGAACCGTCACCACGAGCCACCAAGCCCAAAACGAATGCCCAAGGCATGCATGATTGATGGTCGCGGCGAGCCCGTCAAGAAGTATCGGCCCGGGAAGCCCGAAACCATGAAAGCAAACGACGTACCCCAAACCCGAGACCTTGGAAGGAAATGACGCAATAGTAGCTACCGGCCATGTGAGTACATAGGTTCTCCAAACAAACGTCCTGGCAGGCCATACGGCCATACCCCAGCACTCGAGATGTTAACCTCCATGTGATCCTTTTGTTGGCAAGGTTCGCGCTCGGAACGGACAATCGCCTGTACATTGCAGCACTCACCTCAGGTCCGAACACTGCCAGATCATCTTCAGAAGGGATGCGAGCCGTCGATAAGCAGAAGCGAGGGTGCTTGCATCCGCAGTCCACAGCTCGGTCTTCAGGCGCGCAGTCTCGAGATGTTTTGAGCCCCGAGCCCTCCGAAGCTGCTAGAACTGCCACTTCCACGCCGCTTGAGCTGTAGCAGGACACCTGCAAGCTTTCACAAGTCTTGATCGACTTCACTTGAGGCATTGTCACCTTTGCTGACCGGACAATTGCTGACAAGTGCCAAGCGGGTCAAAAAGGTATGGTCGAGAACCCCACAGCTGGCAGCAACGCTTGTGTCATCGCCGGAGCTCGCACCAGTGCTCAAAAAAGCTCAAACGTGGTGTCGCGAGCTGGCTGTCTTTCTATGCTGACGCAGAAAAGCCAATCTTTTGTGGACCAGCTTAAGGAGCTCCTCTACACAGGGCCTTCGCAGCTGGATTGGCTTTCGTGGCTTCTGTGACAAGCTCGCGAAAGCCACGGCTGTCAGCCACCTGGCGGGGGATTGCCATACACTGGGTTTTCTACGAAGATGCAAGGGAAAGCCGTCCTTGGAAAAGTCGAGAAAAAAGTTCCTGGACCCATTCTTGAGCCACCTGAGCAGGACTCTTCAATGTCGGCTCTAAGGATATGGCGGCTGGCCATGGCTGGCCCTAGTCTTCGCTCGAGGCATGCCGGGAGCATGCTATGGGTGTGTGTGCGCCAAGGTGCTCGTTGGGCTTTTTGTGCAGTACGAACTGGCAGCCCTTCCTGAGTTCAGAAGCTCTTTGTACGGCAGGGCTTCACTCTCCAGCTAAAGTACAAATCAAGTCGTCAAGCGACAGGCATATCTGAAGCCAATGGTGCACACAAAAACTTACCTCTACCAGCCTCTACGAGTATGAAGAGGCGCCCGTCTCCATTATAACCCCATGTCCAAATGCTCGGAAAACTGGCCCTGAGACTAGCATCTGGTTTGCAACATCTCTCGACATGTTGAGGCAAGCTTCAGGCCAGCATCAACGTTGATTTCTAAACGTACTTTTCGACCGTTCTGACCATCAGGTGGCGGGAAGGGCGTCTGCAAGGCACCTGTCGACTGTCTCGGCAAAAAACCATAGCAAAAACAGACAGGTAGACAAATCGACACATAGATAGATGGAGAGATGGACGGACTGATAGATGGGCAGATGGATAGATGCATAGAGAGAAATAGAGAGACACAGCGAGACAGCGAGAGAGAGACTACAGAACGATCTTACTGACGAGAACCATGATCTACTCCACTTGGCTACGTTTTGCTCTTCTTGACTCTCCCTGCCTGGCACGCGATTGGCCGTTGGCGTCGTTCGTGCCTGGATCTCTACAGGCACGATCCACTCCTCCGCGTGCCTGATGAAGGATGGAGGATCCGGAGAAGATACCCGGTAGCTCTATATGCTCTTGGGTGGTGTATCCGGCACATCGGCATCCCTTTGCTTCGAGAGGCTGCTTGCCGACTCCCCAGTGCAGGAACATGTCTCCGGAACCGAAGCCGGTGGCGGTGACGTCAAAGACCATCCAGCCGCCTTGCAAGATGCGCGGCAGATGGCCAGTGCTACATTCACCTGCGAGTACCCCAGCAAGACTGAAACACAGTCGCATGGAATCTTCAGGTCAAGCTCCAGCTGAGCCGCCATCGTCAGAATCTGAGACGACGTCCACATTGACTGAATGTTTTCCAAGGCTCGCCGAGATCATGGCTCAGATGTTAATCGAAATATTGGATGTCTGTGCGTGGACGGGGTTGGTTGGCTCCGGCTCAATGCCAAGAGTACCACAACATCTACGAAGGGTGGAGGTTGTAACACGAGAAGCGCCTCTGCGGCTGATGTATGGCAATCTCCTCAAAGCCAAAGCTTTCACATGGTGGCTTCTGAAGCTGCTGGCTATACGAGCATGCGAATCTGGAATCTGGTGCTGCCGCCGACAGTCTCTCATCGAACCGATCTGCCGAAATCGAGCCGTGCTCTGTCAGGCACGCCTTTTGAGGTCTCACCAGCTCTGCCTCATCTAGCATTAGCAGAGGCCGCGTCCACAAACAATTGTCTCAAGCTCATGCAGCATCAAGTTCGGCTGCTCGAACCCCAACTTCCAGAAGTCTGCGCGCACTTCAAACGCAGCCGCAGACTTTCAGAACGAGGAGGGCAACACCTCCATGCACGAAATCCAGATTGAGAAGACAGATGATGAAACAACTTGCTGACCTCTCGCATCGGGCCTGCATAACATACACAGCTCAAAGCATGGTCCATTGCATCCTGACGCCAGGCTGGTATGAGCTGCGCCAGCAGCACGTGTGAATCTGTCCTTGGGGTGGTACTTCTCTGTCGGGTTGATGTCCAGCAGCTCCACCTCCGTTGAACCGCCGTGCCCACGAGAGGGACAAGTCTGAGTCATGGGGCAATGCTTCTAGACCCAACAGCGGCACAGGTCCAAGTCATTTCAGGTCCAACACGGGAATGACTACGATGTTGTTTCAGGACTCATGTTCGCTGATCTCAGATCGCTCGGCTACACACGTCAGCCAGGCTCCGTTACAAACTACTCAGATGAATCCGACAAGTGAGGACTGAAAGTTGGCGGCAGATGGTAGCGTACTAGCCCTGCAAAGGATACTTCCACAGACTTTCTGACAGCACTGCTGCAAGTGCCTCAAACACCAAGTTAGCGTTCGGTGGGATCACTCCACGCATTCCAGCCCGTCCATACCTCAGCTCTGTCACTGCAGCTTCGACTCTTGGGCATACTCATGGTCGTGTCTTGGTCTTCATTTGTCGCTAGTCCCACATCGTGCGGCAAGTCACGCGAAGTCGGACGTGATCAGCAAGATGGCCTTCTCGCCTTTGGACATTTGCATAACCTCGCCAAGATCAGGCTAGCACCAAGGTCAGCCGGCCAGCTGCTACATTCCATATGTTCCATTTTCGATGTGGTCTCCCTGTGTATGCTGATCCGATGCGGCATCGAAGCTGCTATTAATCCAAGGATCGCCCTCATCCCAACCTCGAATCACCTGCAGGCTGGCTTGCTCTCGGATGCCTGAGAGCCAGGCCGAAGGCCTTCTTCCCTTGCGCCTGTCCAATGCCAGCTGTGAACTCGAGGGGCTCCTTGCCCTGAGAGGAGTCGAAGACCTGTCCGCTGCTGGCAAATCGTCCAGTGTAGTGCATCCTTGGTGAACGCACACAAGGAGGCTCATGAAGCGAACACCTCAATAAGCCAGGCATCCTAAGCAGGTCCCCTGCTTTAGGAAAGGTTTTGCCATCTCCGGCCTGGCAAAATCTCGACTGACTCGTGCGGCTGACTCCACAGCCGTGGGCCTTCTTGACCTCCTTTGTCACGCCCATTGCTGTCAGTGCTCGTGGGCTGCAGTTAAACTAACGGCTAGTACAGTGACCAAATCTGATGTTGAGTTACGAAAGATGATGATGTCCCCATGTGCCGCATGCTGCCGATGCAAATGCTGTTGGGAAAGCATGTAGGCCCAGAAGGCATAATCTGCTTGCTCATCGTTCAATGGATGTCCAATGCGAGGCCAGCAAACAGAAGTTCCTCAGGCATGTAATCTAGGCATGTGAACTGGCTTCTTCCTCACAATTTTTTGGCGGAAGTCGCGGGCCTGCGTGCATTGCGCAGGCTGGGATCGCCTTCCCCAAGAATTCTGTCCTTTGCGCTTAGAAAGATGCTTCTGCCGTGTGCAGTAGCGAATTTTGCCACCACGTACCACACCAGCGCAAGATCTTCTGATGAATTCATTTTCACATCTCGAGGACAGCATCGGCTATTTATCCGTCAGTGACAGCACCTGCCACATCCGCTCCTGTTGCCGCTTGTGTGACGGTGCACGAACCATCCGAAAAGTCGTCCCCATACTCGCTGCATTCGTCCAGCATTTCCTCGAGGTTGGAATCGAGGCGTGCCCGCTGAGCTGCTTGTTCAGCAGCTTGCTGCTGCTTTTTTGCTTGCTTAGCTTGAGCTTCTTGCTGCTCTTTCTTCCTGGCGGCTATGTCTTGAAATCCTTTGAGAACTAGCTTCTTGTATTCCGCAGGCTGTTGCACCGGATGGATTGTCTTAACTTTTGTGTCCACTTTCGCCCACTGCTCCGCACCGTAGGCAACCTTTCCCAGCACGAGGAGAATCTCTTTTGCAGAGAGATCTGGCTCCATCTGTTGAACTTCTCCCTCCGCGCTCTCCAACACCTCGCACAACAACTCTAGGCCCGCCAAGCCACCCTTGGCCTCGTTGGACTCGGCTTCCAGGGTGATCTGCGACACATGCAGCAGCTGCGAGACAAGTGCCACCCTCTTGTGCCGAATCGCTAGGCCGATGGCATCGCGCGCTCGTGCTCCGTGCTTCACAAGGAAGGTCGCCACCGAGATGTAGGACGACTCTCGCTCTGTTGTACATCTCAGAACTTCCGACAGTATGTTTTGGTCGGAGATGCCACGAAGGACTTCTTGGAACCTCGCCTCCCTGTCTTCTTCAGAAAGCGTTTTCGCATCCTCTGCCGTCCAGTGGAGTAAAATCTCCATCTCGGGCAACGAGGAGGAATTCTGACCTGCTTCGACGAGGCGGCTGAGAGGGACGCTCTGGCGCAAAGCCTGGGCCAAGACTTGGCCATGTCTCGCATCGAGCAGCCATTTGAGAACTGAGCCACCCCGAGCAGAGCGGAGCGGCGGCCTTAGCCGGATGGAACCCTTGGAATCTACTCACTTCATCTTTTTCCATGCCAAGCAGCGAAGATCTGCCGCACAAGATCTTGATCATACCTTCTGACTGAACCTCACACCAGCCGCAAAAGCTCAACGGTCAGCAACACCAGCCATGAGAGTAAACTACCCATGGCACGAAGTCGGATGTGCTGACAAGCATCCATCTCCAGAGGCGTTCTCCCGTCCTTGTCTTCCTCATCCAGCTTTGCACCGGCTTCCAACAAGAGCTTTGCCTGGTCTTCCAGCTTCCGCTCCACAACCATCATCAGTGCCGATCGGCCGCTCCTTGGCTTGCGGATGCTTACGGCTTGGCGTCCCCCAGGTCAGGTCAGCTGCCACGGAGGCTCTTGACAAGCCTTGAAATTTTTTAAGCAATTCGACAGAAGTTGAGCTCAACCAGGCATGCGTCTTGTCCTTGTCGTCCAGCTTCTGGCTCACCTCACAAATTTGTCACAAAGCGTTTCACAAGAAATCTTCACGTTGCTGCTTGCAAGAACGGTCTCTGCGGGCAGGCCATCCCAGAGCAAATGTGTGCATCTTGAACTCGTCTCGAGCGTGTCCGTTTGTACCGATTCCGTGGATACGGCTTTCTGTAGTGTTCTATAGTCTATACTATAATGCTGCACTCTCACTTTCTTGTTGCGTCTTCACGACTGCTCCCAAGCAGCGGTAACCCATCGATTTGGCACGGACGTGGCCCCAGAGAAGACTTCTATCAACACTGACGGTGCTGGTAGGTTCCGTAATCATCTTGGGGGATGGATCATATGTGGCAGCTATTGACAAGCATGTGGCGCGCAGCAAGCAGGCCGGAGCGAGTGCGACACGCATGGCTGCAATGCTTCGAACTTCTTGCAATCATGACTGCCAGGCCATCGACTGCGAACCTTCAAAGTGATTGCAGCAGGCCTCCGGCGACCACGACCCGGGGCTCAGGAAGGCCTCCACCACCCCGGCAGCAGCTGAGCCTTGCTGTATGGCGAGCCTCAGCGCAAATACGAACTTGAGTGCAGAGCGGACGAAAGCTATGCGGAGGGAGGTGGCAGCCAGCTCTGCGTTCCAAACTCCAACAGATACAGGTGAGCGAATGTGACTAGAAGCTGTGCGCGCTGTGTGCTGTGTTGCGATATGAATCACACAACCTAAGCCTGCACTGAACTGCGCACGGCAAAGCTGGTTCCTCAACGCAACAACCAACAACATCTCTGAAACGGTTTGTTTGCTCTGCTGTGTGTTGTACCGGGGCGGGGGGTCATTTGGGCGTTCGCGCCATTCCAAAACCTTGCAGAAAGAAAAATTGGGGGTGTGGGCCGCTTCCAGTCACCCTGGAAGGCCGCTTCTCCATTGGGTGCCCCTTTGCCCCGCCCACCCCCCCCCCCCCCC